TTTAATTTCGGCTTTTTTCCCTTCTTCAGCCCATTTTTCCATACAAAATATTTCCCAGTTTCTGTGGAGTCCCTCACTGTCAAGTGGACCTGAAGCATAAGGTCACACATGAAGTCCAGTGGTGCCTATAATAACCTTTGGAAAGGGCAGGAACAATCGTTTGGAATCAGTTATGAAAAGACATGAACCAGAGATGTACTGGAGTGTAGCGCAAGACTCATCTAAGTTGGGAACAAGTTGGGAATTAGAAAGGTTTTGATGAGGGAAGAAAGAGAAATGACAGAGGATGTGAATTCATTATGAATACTGGCTGATGAAGTTTAAGGGACAGGTGTCGAAGCCTGGAAGCTAAATCAGTAACCTATTTATCAGATTTCTGTGAGCCTTCACGGTCAGCTTGCTGTGTAACCTTGGGCTACTTATTTAAACTCCAGAACCACACTATCCTACCTAGTAAATTAAAAATGGTCTTACATGTTAGTAAGAAAAACTGGTTCAAGATTTCTAAGAATAAGGTCACCTTGCTGTAGTTGAAATTAAAATACTGGGAGGGGATGGCCCTGAAAATCCAACAAAGAAGAATAAAGGGTGAGGTGTTGGAATCTGTTGTTATGATTTAGGCCATGGGCTTTATACATCCGTGAGGTATAGCATGAGTGGCTTCACAAAGACTTGATTATGAGTCAACTGGATAGTGGATCACTTACAGCACTGTAAACCTAGATCTGCCCTGAATCCAAACAACTTGATGCTACAATACTCATTTCCAGAAACTTTTATATCTATAATACAGTGTAGAGATGGAGGCAAAGCTAGTTTTATTACAATGCTGTATCGAGCATGTCTATGAGCACCATTTTTCCAATACTATTTGATCTCCTCATCTCTTGGTGTAACATTAAAACTTTTTCATTGTATTTGTTACAGTTGTCTGTGAACATGATCTTCAATGTAAATAACTAGCTCATTTGGGGCCTTCTCTCAAATGAAGTCATGCAGTAGGTCTTCTTTCCCATGCTGATACAGGCCAAAAGATAGGCTTCTTGCATGAAACCGTCAAGTTGTGAATGCAAAATCTTGACAGAAGTTAAAAGTGCTACTCCAGTGAATACACGGATGATAAGAAAATTCAAACAGCTTATTGCTGATAGGGAAAAACTTTTAGTGGTCTGGAGGGAAGATCAAACCAGCCACAACATTCCATTAGGCCACAGCATACTTGAGAATGAAGCTGCAGAAGCAAAAGTCAAAAACCAACTTCAGCTAGCTTCTGGCTTCAAGGAAAGAAGCCATCTCCATAATGGAAAAGTGCTCATTTACCATTTCAAAAGTCTAAGGGGCCTTAAAAGTTATACTGTGTATAGTCTGCCTATGCTCCAGGAACAGCACCACCTCGATGATGGCAGATCTGCTCACAAAATGGTGTAGGGAGTATTTTAAGCCCCTCTTGAGAGCCACTGCTCAGAAAAAAAATTTCCTTTCAGGACATTATTGCTTATGTACAATATTGCTTATGACAATGTACCTGGTCATCCAAGAACTCTGTTGAAGATGTGCCACAAAATGAATGTTGTTTTCATGTCTCCTAACCATCAAGAAGTCACTGATATTTTCAAGCTTTCTACATTGGAAGGTTACACCTTCCATAGATAGTGATTCCTCCAATGGATCTGGGCACAGGAATTGACAACATTCTGAAAAGGATACAGCATTTTAGATACCACTAAAAACATTGGTGATTCAGGGGAAGAGATCAGAATAGAATATCAACCTTAAGAGGAGTTTGCAAGAAGTTTATTACTCTCCTCATGGAGGACTTTGGGCTCAGGACTACAGTGGAGGAAGTAACCATGGAGATTTGTATAATAGCAAAAGAACAACGATTAGAAGAGGAGCCTGAAGATATGACTGAATTTTGCAATCTCGTGGTCAAACTTGAAGAGGAGTTGCTTCTTAGGGATGAGCAAAGAAAGGGGTTTGAAGTGAAATCTGTTCCTACTGAGGATACTGTTAAGATTGTTATATTGTAAGCCCATTGTTGTCATTTCAACCAACTGTGTTTATAAAGCTGTGACAGGGCTTGAGAGCATGGACTCCAATTGTGAAAAAAAGTGCTACAGGTAAAATGCTTTCAAACAGCATCTCATGCTATAGAGAAATTGTTCCGGAACAGAAGAGTCCACTGATAATGCAGACCTCATTGTTGTCTTAAGAAACTGTCAGCCACCCCACTTTTCAGCATCCATCAGCATTGCAGAAAGATGAATACTCACTGTAAGTTCAGATGGTTAACAATTTTAAGCAATACAGTGTTTCTTAATTTAGTTATGTGCTTTTTTTTTTTTTTTTTGAGACTTAGATACACTGGGGAAACCCCAAAATTCACTTTGGTGAGGCAGTCTGCCAATGTAGCTGGCCTGATGGCCACCTTGATATCATTAAGAAAAGGTGTTTTTCTCAGTCATTATTAAATCTGTTTAATTGTTTTCTAATTACTTAAATGATAAAAGTTTATGATATATAGTGCAGTTTTAATTAGCATAGAACTTAAAATTCAGCTGGAATCCAATAACTGCTTACTTCTGTAGGTATCTGGAGGAGCAAGGGAGTAGCCAGTGTAGTAGCTCAAAGCCAGCCGAGCAAAAAAGATGTTTGAGCTAAACTACTTGACAATCTTGTGCCTCCTTTGCCTAACCGGGGAAGTTTATCAGTACTAGCACCACCTCCTGGATAAAATGAGTTACAGTATATTAAGGGCTTTGAAGAGTACCTGTTATATGCTAACCATTCAACTGTGTGTTTACTATTACTAGTATTATCAGAGCAGCGTCTGGTTTGCTGGGAACCTGTACATACATTTTCTCATTTGAGCCTCGTGATAGCTCTCTCTGTAAACGAAGTAAGGCACATGTCATAAATAACGGGACACTAAAAACATGACTTGGTAGTAGACTTAGATTTCGTATCTTCCAACTGATAATCCATCTTGCTTCCAAACCGTGGCACCCTCTTCTATTCGAAACTCTTCTAAGCCCCTGAGAGCACTCTGGCCCTTGGGATAGAGATCATTTTACTGACCTGAAGTTGTACACCAGCAGCAAAGTGTGTCCGAAAGCCCAGGTTTAAGGAATCCCATCTGACAAAAGCTTACCTGGGTTATGGTTTCATCACGATGGCCAAATCTTTTATGATACCTTCAAGTTCAGTGCCTTCTCCAATAGCACTAGGAAGAAAACGAAGTGTTAGCAGAAGAGATGAGAGAATTAAATCTGGACATGATTGGGCACCTTTGTGCCCAATTAGCGGATGTCTTTTCTCTTAAGTCTTACTCAGGGATCTTAACTAATGGAGTAGGGTCTTAGTATCTTGGGACTTAAAGAATCCTTCACTTAGCACTGGGAAAAACCCCAATAAAATGCAAGTAGTTCTAACATCTTTGCAATAAGGATATTGTTTAGATCCACAGCTGAGTTCTCCAAAATCTGGATCAAATTGTTGTAAGACAAATGACAGAGCTCTGTAGACTGTAAAAACATTAGGAAAGAGAATTATATTTGTGTTTTCTGCTAAGAAATCCAGAATTTTTCAGAGCTATAATGAAAGCAAACTACAAGCCAAAGGGGGTTCTGAATTATCCAGCAGAATTTTACAGTCCCACTCATGCTCCTTTAACTCCAACCCTACAATTGTTAAAACACAAGGGAATAATAGAATACACACTAGCTAATGGAATTCAAGCTCAAATATAGTCCTCTAACTACTCATCTGTCATAACTAAATTAGAAATTTAACTCCAGAGAACTACTAAATAATACTGAGGATGACCAACAAAGTATTTCTGGGTTATCAGAGGGTTTAGACATGAATGTAAAATATGAGTCTATTTTTTCTTTCCCTTGGGTCCCAAGAGCTGAGATGAAATCACATGATTTAATCATTCTGAATCCATGTGGCTCCTCTGAGATAGGGCCAGATGTAACCAGAAGGATTTATAGGGCGTAAAATTCAGAATGGATTAGGAAAGCGTTTTTGTGTCCTGCCCAGCACATCCTAAATCAAAGTCCCCTGAATGGACTGGGAGGTTGTCATGGCAACTAACTGGCAAGCTGAGCCCGTGGAATGTGAAGGCAAACAATAGTGATAAGACTGTGTACAGAACAGCAGCCCGAGTCTGCTTCTGCCCAGGTACAGGGATGGGAGAAGTGTGCAACTGTGACCACCTCTTCTGTACCTTCTTACAATTCTGGCAACGCCTTTGATATATATCAGGTGTCTTTTTCCAGATGCCAGTAAAAACACTGCTGCTGATAGAGCATAGAATAGAGAATAGAAGCCCCAGAAAAATATGCACCAAAGCCACGGAGAGCTGTTCACCTAACAGGACACACAATTTTCCAAACAGAGGTTGAAGCACATTTAAGGTTAATCCACTGACTCTTTAGTGCCACCTTGTGTCCAGTTCGGTACGGAAATATTCCCAAAAGCTCACCATGGATCCGCGGTGGGGCCTCAGGCTCAGGAGGAGTCACCGGGGAGTGTGGTGAGGCAGTCCGTATTCCCTTTTGCAGCAGAACATACAGATGAAGTCTGTATGGACATGCCCATGGACAATTATGACGAATCTGAAAAGGGATAAGGAAAATATGCCCAATTACACATCTTAAAAAAAATTCCAAGAAGCTTCCTGGTGGCTCAGAGCTGGAGGAAAGGAGGGCAAAGGCAGACTCAGGGTGGAGGATTTTACTAATAAGCTTTTGTGAAGAGATTTGGTGGTGGTGGTGGTTCATTCAATTCATAAATAAATTGACAGGGAAAAAATCAAATGTCACTGTAGCTGTGAACAAAAGACTTGGTAACAAGATGACAGCATTTGTTCAAATCCACATCTTAGGTCCACATCTTCTGTCTGCCCCAACCCCCAGGGGAAACACCATCAAGTCCCATTTACTTTCAGCAGAAGTGTAAAATCACCAAGCTGTCTTTCTCCCTGTTTCTTCCAGGGTTTGAATTTTTTGAAACAAGTGCCAAGGATAACATTAATGTCAAGCAGACATTTGAGCGTCTTGTGGATATCATCTGCGACAAAATGTCCGAGAGTTTGGAGACGGATCCAGCCATCACTGCCGCCAAGCAGAACACAAGACTCAAGGAGAGCACTCCTCCGCCACAGCCCAACTGTGGCTGTTAATGTCCCCCCCACAACACACACACACACACACACACACACACACAGGCAGCTGGAGGGGGCCCATCACCAACCAACAGCGTTTATAAATGGTCGATTAACCTTCATTTCTACTGCCTAGTAATTATTTGAGGGAAATCTTGTGATGTCAATGGTTCATACACGCATTCAATTCGTGGAAGATTTCCCGTGTTAATATGTGGCAAATATGTGATCTCGAATTTGTAAGGACTATCCATCTATAAACATCTGATATTTGCATGTAATTTGTTACTCGTCTCTGTAGGCTCTTTTTGTTTCAGATTTCTTCTCAAAATTAAGCTACTGCTGGGACCTCAGACTGTAATTTCACTACCACTGAATTTTGTGCCTCGGGTTCAAATTTGCGATTCACTTGTAAGGATGATAACCAAGGAATTGCTTGTATGGGGCTGGGGGAGGGCGGGTAAGAGGAGATCTCAGGAGACCATCATGGGTCCGGTCAGTTTAACTGTTCAGGAAATGTGTCTGGTTTTCAGTCTTAGTAATAACTGAGGAGACCACTGACTATAAAGAAATAGGAATACTGTATTTGAAACCCTTGCAAATTTTCTTAGAGATTAAATCTAGTTCCAGTTTAATCCACCTTCTTAATTTAGTTATGTACGTAAACAGTGACCCTAATGCAGGGCTCTTGGTGCCACTACTTCTGCCCAATGTTTGGAATATTTGAGGACACAGACTGACAGGCATCAGCTCAAGGCATTACATAAGAAGGCTTTAAACCAAGAAGAGTAGGAATGGCTGCAGACTTCTCAAAGGACTGACTTTCCCCATTTCTTAGTAACTGCCTCCCACTATACACACACCATCCCCACCCACTTTCTGGAACCATCACTCAAGCATGGAATAGAGATGAATTTGAAGTTTGTTAGAGCCCCTCTTCCTGTGGGATAGACACTTGCTTCCACAACCAGTGCCTTCTGTTCACCCCTCACCTTACTTCTTTTACTCAATAGATTAATTTTTAAAAATCCCAATGGCTCTAAAGTTGAGGAAAAGAATTTTTATCTGTAGTCTTTTTCAATCCCATTGTTCCCAATTATAAAGCATCTCCGTCTGCATTCTGTAAGTTTTACAGGTGCTTACCTTACTGAGAGAACACTCTTTAGAGTTAAGAAAAGTTGAACCAACACTTTAGGACACCAGAAGCAATTGAGTGGGGGCAGGGGGAGAAAACCATTCGAATACCCTCATTTTTTCTCCCAGATTTTCTAAGACCATCTGAGAATAACAAGCCCCCAAATCTCACCAGTTGTTCTAATTGAGCTGCTGAAGGAAACTGGCATCCTTAACCATGCAGTATACTAGACTTGAAGAAGGCAGCAGGCACAGACTGGTGGATTTAGGACAGTTCCATTAGGGTGATTTTCTTGTTGCCCTGCAATGGTGGTTATGTTCAAGATTTTTTTCCTCTTTCCATAACTAGACACAGTTCCTGGGAAAGTTCTGGGTATAAGTCTCTGGAGCAAGGTTACCGATAGGTAAGTGTGTTGTTGGATAATAACCATCTCCGGGTCAAGGAACTAGGTCGTATACATTATTACTAAGTTAGATGAAACTTACAGAAGAGTACATGCGAGATGTTTTCAACAAACCCAGGTCATTTCTCACCTTGAGTTTAAGACCCGTGCATTTGTAATCAGTCTCCACTTTGGCACCCTGCAAGGCAAGCCCAAGAATGTTTTAAATAGACCAATGAACTTCAAAAATCCACAGAACTCTTAGTGAAGGGCAGGACAAAGCAAGGGTGGCAAACAAAGCAGACCGGTTTGCAACAGAAGCCTATTTCCATGACAAAACAGTATTTCTGTAACCACCTCAGAATGTGGGCAGGGTCAAAGTCAAAGTTGTTAAAACTCACTTGTGTAATCTTGTATGAAACAGTGAGGCCAAGAAAACTTTCCTGGCCTTTGAGTCCCATTCCCATGTATACATGTAGATGTCAAGGACTTAAGTATGATGTTCAGAGGGCTCTTAGAAGCCCCTTCCTCTATGGAGTATTGTATAGGGGCAAGCAAAATCAAGGTGAGAAGAGTGGAAGGTCAAGAGGTGTGTTTTACTTTTGTGTAAACCCCTTCCCTGAAAACATCATTGCAAATGACATTAATTGGCTCTATGACCAAAAAACAAAGTCAGAAGCCTATGTCACATGTAGGTGTCAGGCATGCCTACGCTGAACTACTTTAATCCCAGTCAGGGAAGCATGAGGGCAAGTGTCAAAGCCAAAGAACTTTGGATACTTTCCATTTTCCAGCCCTCCGTGGAAGTGGATGAAACTTCCTAGTTCATTCTCTGTTCCAAAGCTCCCACACTGGTGTGAATTTCACTGAGAAGTTTCCAGAATGGATTGTCACAGAGCTCAGGTAAATGCACACCTACAGTCCTGCTATACAGCTTGTGGGAAGAGAAAACTCTCTATTCCTCATTTCATGAAGAGATTTTAGTTTTAAAATTAAATTTTTGTTGTAAGAGGTAAAGCCACAGTGTGGTTTTCTTGTCATCAAACTATTAAAAACTTGTAGCTATGTAACTGCAAGATTTTTTAGCCTTTTTGCACCAACACACACACACACATACACACACACACACACACACTTAACCTCCTACATTGTCTCCAACTCCCACTACAGCCTAAATAATCACAAGTCATTTTTACCAACGGCCTAACTACATTTGTATTTTAAAGATGAAGATACCTTAAAGTACATGCTTGTGTAAATGTGTACACTTTTAACACCCATCTTCTATTGTATGATTCAATTCAATTATTTTTCAAGAATGAATTTCTCTGCTGCCCACCTTCTCACCTCCCTCACCCCTGCAATTTTTTAGAGACAAACCCTGATTTTTGAGCAAATACTTTTGAGCAAATACACCAAGAGCTTTGGTGTTGGTACCTTCCTTTCCATTGTTCATGCAATTGAAAACCTAGACTGGAAAATTCTGCATGTATATAGCGACCATCAGAGTGGATGGGCATTTGGTGTTGGGGAATGTGAATGGATGTAGAAGGTGCATGACCTTTCTGGGAATGTGAATGGATGTAGAAGGTGCATGACCTTTCTGAAGTCCTAAGATGGCAGTTTAAGTGCCACATCCCATGGTTCGGGAACCCAAGAACAATTGCTTCTGAACGGTAGCTCAGTTCATTGCTGCCGCCCTCTCCTCCTCCCTCTCCCTCCCCAGAACAACTTCTACTGCCTTGGTGAACCTGTCAGTAGATTCTAAGAGTTCCCACTGAGGTTCACTTCAAGTCAGTATCCCTTTGCTGCCTGATAACTGAGTGCTAAGATTGTAATCTCTCAGGTGAGCGATGATGCCTTTAGTGATGCCTTCAGTCATAGCAGAAAACTGCAGCATCGTTATGATAAATGTGAAGCATAAATTCTCAAAATTATAACCAAACATCTCCAAAACCCCTATCTACCCAAACACATAGTGAGTATGGACACTGCACCTACTTCACTCTTATCCAGATGAGTTCCAGTCCTTTTGTTGAGCACATGACTCCTTTTTCCAGGGACCAATTCAAACTAATTCTATGTCTATGCTGAACGCAGACTTTCACGTATTTTTTAACATAAAATATTCCATTATCAACTGAACTTCCATAAAGCAACCTGAGTTTCCAAGTGTGGTAGTATGTTCCCAGAGGCTCATCATGATGGGCTCGGGTTGCTATGTATCTTAGTGCACAGGGAGAATGTTCTTGCCTCCTGAGGCTGACCAGGTAGCATTTGTCAGACTGTATTTAAAATGTCTCCGGACTCTACCAAGCTCTCTCAAGGCTGAGGTAACCGCTGCAGATGAAAAACTGTGAGCTAAATCTGACCGTGTAGTCAGGACTAAAACCCTTTCCAGACCAAAAAGTGTTAAACATTTGCATCTACTGTTGGAATGCTCAACCAGATGTTGTTGGTGAGGAATACTTAGGAGGTGGCCTTTTTTTGTCTGAAGGTTCCTCTCTCTGTAACTTAGGGACATTGCATGACTGGTAACTCAAACCTTCTGTTCCTTTGTGTGTATGCTCACCCAGTGTGCTAGGTCAGGGTAGCATGTGAGCCACTTGACCCTCGTGGCCTTTCTCATCGCCACTCCCCCCACCCCGGCCAGAAGATGCCACCTCCACAGCACAGTTTCATTTTGCCCATTTGTGTCGACTACCTGCACTTGCATGGTTTCCTAGTAAGTTGGGGAAGTCCTTCCACTGAGCTGAACCAGTAGGGTCAGCTTTCTGGATTGCTTTGTATTTAAAGTCATTTTTTGACCAAAGCCCCTTAAAGACATAAACCTGTTTCTTCTTCGGGAAGGAATTGGGACAAATTGGATCAAAGACAAAGTTTATGATGACCCAAAACAAAACAAAACCTGTTCTCCCTATAATGTACCTACAGGGCTCCAGATTCTAGAAATACAGGAAATACAGTATCCCCTAAGAGGGCAGCAACAAGGTTCAGGGAATTTATCTAAAATATATGTACCTATTGTTATTGCTATTTCATGAATAAATGTAGTTTGTCTGAAAGACCTTTACAGAAATGCTTGACACTCCAGCTAACAAATAATTCCTTTTGGTAGATTTAAATATTTACACTTGGGCCACCTACACACACACACACCCCTCTTTTTATGAAGGGAAATTTTCATATATGGTGCTTTCTCGGCGCCAGGGAAAAAGGAGCTTTTGCTGTGTGCCAACTGTAACTCACATTTTGTTTAAAAAGATCTACAAAATAGATACTTTACACTGATTTGTATGTTTGCACACATAATTTTCATCAAAAATAGAGAAAAATGCATTTTGCTAATGTTCTAGACAAAAAAAAAAAAAAAAGTTCAAAACCTCTCTCAGAACACCTATCTGGGAGACAAACTGAACTTTCCAGTTATGGTTCTCTTTTCCACTTCCTGATACTATTTTTCATTATAGTTTTTAAAGCAGTTTCCTCTCACTGAACGACAGGACTAAGAACAGGG